GGGGGGGGGGGGGGGGGGGGGGGTAACACCCCAAAAGAAAAATCAAGAAAGGGGGCCCAACTTTCCCAGAGGGGACCCCGGAATGCTGGAATTGCGGAGCGTGTTACATAATAAGGAATTTTCTGAAAAATTGAGGTAAAAAAGGTTTGAAAAAGTATTTTAACCCCCCATTAAAGGAAAAAAATTTGGGCCGTTTTGTTTTCGGAAAAAAACCCTGATCTCCGCAGTTCAGATTTAATATGAAACAGTTATTGTGGTCAGGATTTTATTCAAGCCTTACATACATGTATAGATGGCCGGCGCGACCGTAAAGCATGTTAACGTTGAACATTGGTTGCACTAGCATTTATTTCGCATGGAAATATGCATGAAAATATCATCTTAGTGAGGACAAATTTGTTAAACTGAGTTCATCGGGCTCAAATGCATGTAGGGATGCAAAATTTAAAAGTAGTATCGCCAGTAAGTCCTATCCTGTGGCCTAATCTTGCTTAATTCGCTTTAACTCACCTTGTGACGCCCTTACTCGCGGAGAGTTTAGAACCCCGAACCCTTGTTTCATAAAGATATTTAGTGACGGATCAGCATCCAACGGTTTACATTTACACCCGGTTTTCAACTGGCATTTATTCTGATTTCATAGCTTTACAATCATATTTATTATTAAAAATATTTTTATAACATTTGCTTTAATCTTGTAAAAATGCAGTCATTTTTATTGCAATATATAATCAAACCAGATATTCCCAATATTAATCCAATGAGAACAATAATCATCATAATGGAACAGCGTGATCTCTCTACACAACGGGAAAAATATATAATTGACTATAAAGACTTTGACATAACGTTAGTTTTAACCTGGTTTAAAGTGTATATTATTGCAAGGGGTTTATATGGATGAGCCGCATACTGCATGACTGGATATACTGGATATGGTAGTCTACCGGATGCTGGTCAAGGAAAAATGGTAACCGGATAATGTATCTATGGCAGTATTTGGGCAATACTTCACTACCTTTCCCCCTAATATAGTTAACTATTTTATTATGTGCTTTATCGCTCTATATAACAAGCATAAATATCTGTGGCACAGGTGTCGGTGCGCAATCTACAGCAGAGAGCAGGTTTCTTCGCGAAAACAATTTCTGCACGCCCAGTAATTGCTCCTGTTCCACAATTTCTTAACACGCAAAAAAAGACAAAGAAAACAATTTCGCCGAGAAAAAGCGCTTGTGGAATCAGACCTTTACAAAGTATTATACGTTATAACTGCATATTCAAGGACAAAACCGGAGTAAACGTGTATGGACAAACATAAATCTGCATGATCTGTACTAAATCCAGTCAATATACTTAAACCAATTTTTACCTATTCTTTTATTTTCTTTTCCATTCTGTGAAACGTGTTCATCGTTGACAGATTTTTCGTCTAAAACATAAAAATTGTATAAAACGTCAACTCTATCACGTCACCTGGCCATACAACAAGAACCTGTTAAAGATACACAATAGAAATAACCTAGTAATGAGGGTCCACAATACACGCGGTTCTTAAATCGCGAATCCCGTGCTCAAACGTTTTATTATTGCGCATGTTTTTCCTAGATTCTTCTCATCCTGTGGCCCGCCACTGCTTGAAATCCCGAATCCAGTCATTTCTCTTCCCTTGCAATACCTGCATTCCCTTGCATTCCTCAAATCAACGTTATTCCACGTCGCACCTATTGTGGACACTCACTAACTACAAACAAATGAACGAACGTCATTGTTCAATGACTTTCTTTCAGATAACGCCAATCTGACCAAACATTTTGGCGGTAAAACAACCAGTATTTAATTCTGGTTAATGAAAAGTGAAAACTTGTTGACTTCCAATGTTCTAATGTTCAAACTCAGAAATTCCACCAAACTCTTTTGCCGAAAATTCAAGCAATTTACTGAAACGTGAGACCGTAGGTTCGATTCCTACCAGAGGACCTTGTGCTGCATTTTTCGTAGTCGTTCCTGGTTAGGTCTTAAAATGTATATATTCTCACTTGGATTACAAACCCTAACATCCTAATATTAATTCCACCAAGTGAAGTGCAAGAACTAAGTCATAGATTATAGATCATACCAGATGTCTCACAGTGTATCTATCTCTATGATTTTCGTGTCCGCGATTTTCGCAAGGCTATCACGCCAGATGACGCGTACGACACTTACTGCCAAAATGGCGCTTACTGCCAAAAGGTGTGATTGCTCACGTTTCATGGCGTGGATTTACACTTACTGCCAAAATGGCGGCCAATTCGTGCTCATAAAAAATCGCGGACACAATTTTGGCTGAGTGAGACATCTGGTATAATCTATAATCTATGACTAAGTTATTCAAGTTTCTTTTAGTTACGTGTTTTAATGAATAGGTTCAATTAAATGATGTCATAAAGCCCGCGTTAATTAATTACCCATAATGCTTTGTTCAGCCGCAATCGTATAAAAAGCTGTGACATAATAATGAACTTTGTAATAATTGGCTGACTGAGAGAGATAGCACGTTATTGCGTCTCGCGTAGTAACAATTCGTAAAAAATTAAAAACGGCGAGCTCGAGTGCTGTTAAGTACACGAACAACAAACAGTTTTCGAGAACTGTTTGGAGATCGAAAACACGAAGAAATTTGTTTTCAAGTGACGAATTGAATAAAGAACTCAAGGAAGTCGGAGCTTGAACAGCGGAAAGGTAAGAATAACTTGAAATGATTAAAATTATTAGATAAATAAATAATTATTATATAACGAAACGTAAAACATTTTCATTGCTTCTTCCCTCTATATACTTTCTGCGAATTCAAATTACTTTCTAACGACTAACTCGACTTTCAGAACAACTCGACAACGACTCGTAAGCAGGCAAGTCCATATAGAGGTATAGGCAAGTCCATATATAGCGGGGGTTCATATGACATGTGAAATAGTCTGTATCCATGACTACTCTTGCTATGTGGGAATCAGTCTTGACCAGTGTGCATTATAACGGTCGGCAATCGGCTACTTGCCGAACAAAAACACTAAATGGCCGATTAATCTTATTCTGCACGGATATTTTGACCGAGCAAATAAAATAGGCAGTTTTCATTTAAATGAAAGGTATACTATTTGACTAGTACGGTACTGTTCATAAAGCATAAAAGCGAGAGAAGGAACACAAAATGTTTTCTTGGCTTTGCTGTGACAAGCAACAAAATCACATCACAAGTTTATGGTACTATAGACATGCAGAAAATTCCCCTAAACAATATACAATGGCATTACTGCTTGCCAAAAATTAAGTAATGTGATTGATCAAGCGAGGAGTGATCAGCATGCCGAACTATCAAATTGATAGCTCGTCAATTGAATGTAAATTTTGAAAAGCTGGCCGATCATTATTAGCCAATGTCCGAGCAACTACATAGTTGATCGGACATTTGTCAGACCCAAGCGAAATTGTTATAATCCACACTGGTCTTCACTGGAGATATACAGATATATATTAACACTCTATTATATTGGTCGCCTTGATATGTTCACGACAACTAAATCCAGATTACAAATCAATTTTGGATAATTAAAAAAACAGGTTATGACGTCATCTGTGTATCTACTTAAGGTTACAGGGCACCCTTTTTGGCGTTTTGTGGAAAATCGTTACTGCGCGCTCAAAATCAGTCCGATTTTCATCAAATTTTCACCAAATGTTAGCCAGTGCATTCAAAATATGATAAAGTTGTAAAATTGACAAACAATAAAATAATGTAAGAATTATTCAGGAAAATCTTAAGTCGCGGTACCTTTACGCTTTTGAGTTATGTTCCTGCTGGTTTTAAGATATATTTATGAAAATATCATTTTTATACAGTAAAATAGTTGTTCTAAAAAATTTTGTTCGGAAATTTTTGTTTATTTCGTCGTTCCGCTGATATGGCGATTTCTTTGACGACTGCAATATATTTCTGAATCGTTTGTGTGAATTGCTCCTTATTATTAAAATATCCAAAATTAGAAAAAAGCCGAACACAATTTTGAAACTGACGTCTTTAGCTATGTCCTGTGAAAATTTGAGAGAAATTCGTTGAAACCCGCAGGAGCACAGCTCGTTTTAAAATCAGTAATTGCCGTAAAATTCTTCGGGAGAAAATTGAATTTGAATATTACATTTTCAATGTTTTTCTTATTGCAAGCGAAATGTATTTTATTAAATAACTCTGCGAGTTTTCAACATTTTTCGTCCAAACTTGGTCAGATAGTAGAACTAATCTAATGCTTTCATGAAAACCAATAAAAAAAAATTTAGACAAAATTAACACTCAAATGTGTTCTGTCTGAACACATTTATACAAGTAGATACAAAGAGGTTGCGCAATTTTTTACTCTTGTGAATATTGATTACTGTATATTTATGGTTTAACCGCTAGACAAAACTTTCAATCGCCCTATATTATAAACGTCAGACGTTATTTATACGAAGCAATTTACAGTCGGTTCTGCAGCAACCTCGTTCCCAGGCTTGCAGTTCTTTATTCCATTCTTCCACATTCAATTTCGTTTTCGTGCTCTCCATGAGAGAGTCAAGACATTATTATTATTGAAGAATTTCACTTAAAGGCAGTTCTCGAAGAAATTCTTTGTCACGTCGTTCTCTTCACATCCTAAATGCTCTTTAACTGGGTTTCAAGCACTACGAGAAACGTCACCTACTGTACTATCTCCGTATAGTCAGCTGGTAATTAACAACTGAAGGTCATTATAATACCAAGTACAGTAACAATTATCCAACCTTGCAACTTTCCCTCGGCTTCCTCCGCCATTAATTTCTTCTGTTTTTCCATCGCTTCATAAGCTGCTCTTCTTTCTTGCTTCTCTGACAATTTTTGTCTTTTTCTTAATTCTCGCTCTTTAGTTGCATTGGCTTCTTCCAAAACTTTTTTTTCTGAAGCGAACAGATACAGTGTCTCAAATTATGGTGCATGGTTAGCGCTCAATTTTGCATCAGTACTTCGTTTTAATGTTAACTATTAATTTCCATAGGCTGAATTATAGCGACGAACGCAGGTTTGGGATAACAAAAGGTTGTTCATCTTATAATTTGTCTGTGTTTAAATGTGATAACAAAACGCATCATCAGTCAAGATTAGCTATCGGAGAACGTCGGCTACGACAAACCTTGCCTTGACGAATGATCCAGCTAATTTGACTTGTGTATAAGCCATTACACTACGTTCAGGAAAAATGGACACTTTGCTGCTGCTTTTTGCAAATCGGTTTAATGTGATTTGGGAATAGTTAAAAATATCTGATAGTTTCGTTCGGATTAGCGGGAGAGTGGTGTTGTCAGTTGAGAATTTGTCCTATTTTTCAAAAAAAAATGTTTGATTAACTTATTCTTAGAAAGTAAAAAAAAAACAACAACCAAGTAAACTACAACCTATAGTGAATATAAAAGAAATATTGACCTCTTTCTATTTCTCGTTCTTCTTTCAATTTTCTCTGTCTTATTCTTTCCTGTTCTGAATTTTTCACCTTGAGGTGCGCAATCATCTAAAAATGTGCATTAAAATGACATATTTTACAAGCTAGAAATGTTTTCACATTCACATAACATTGTATCATGATTAGTAGTTTACGTAAATTTTATTAAAAAGTTTTGTTTTCACTGACTAATTTAGTATATATTATATAGTTTATCAGATATTTTAAACACGTACATCAAAGACAAGATGGGATATAATTTAGAGTATGCAACCAACACATGATTTTCAATTGAAAGTTAGAATTTTGTCCATGTATGTGTTATCTGACATTTGAACTTACATTATCAGCACAGCGTTTACATTCCTCAGCACTGAGACAATCTCCAACTACATTGGGTAACAATGTCTGAATTGGATTTTCTTTCAAATCAAGCCATTTTAATCTCTTCAGATGAACACAACTGACTGGCATCGTTGCTAATTTATTGCTATAGAGGTCAAGTCTTAGTAAGTTAACTAAATGACCAAAATCATCTGGTAATTCAGTCAACATATTTTTACTCAAGTCCAACTTAGTCAGCTGAGTCAACGTGGAGAATGTGACCTGGAAAAGACAAAAGTGGAGAAAGTTACAACATTTGCAGTTCTAAGAATTTAGAGACATGCACCATGCACAAAACCTAATCATAATACAGCCCTTGAAAACGAGGTCGGCATTCGGCAATGTCGACCTATCAAATCAGCCTCCCAGCTCGGCAAATTTTTGCCGACCTTAATTCAACCAAAGTAAGAATTTTTTGCTGCTGATTGCTATTAAAAAGTCAGCGATTATAGAATTCGATTCATAGTTTGATTAACTATTTGAACACACTTTAATGTAAGGTTTAAAAATTGACAGATATTCTATATATAATTTAGGTAATTAAGACTCCAAAAGAAAAGCTGTTGTCAGTGTTACTGTAGTTCACGTTTCCGGGGAAAAAGGCATGCTTTGTATTCCGATTTCAATGATTTGCAAATACATGATTACTAGTGCTCCAAGACATGGAAACAGATTTAAAAAAATGCCGAGACCTAGGTCGGCATTTTTTTGCCGACCTCAATTTTGACGGTTTTCGAGGGCTGATAATATGGATATTTGTCCAAAAGCCAGAACCAGCTGACAATTTAAGAAAAGAAAATATAGAACAAAAACTGAAACATCTAAATTAAAGCGTAAATTCAAATGGTGATATTTTGATCCTATTAAAGAATCGTCCCCCAAGGCCAACCCTCAAAAGGCCAACCCCCAAGGAGGGGGGCATATTGTAGTAGGCTGGATCGATATACCGGATATATCCGATATACCGGTATTTGTTTAGATACCGGTTTGGCGATATTGACAATTTAAAAATACCGATATACCGACATTTCGGTATTTTGCTGCCTAATACCGAAATGAAACGCTATTTCAAGTCAAACTTGCTTACAATCACGTTTAGAAAGCAAAGTTAATACTCACAGATGCATGATTTTGTTCTTACAGTTCTAGCAGCTTTGGTTTAGCAATACCAGACGTCTTGTTTATTAAATCGCCCTAATCGGAAATATAAAAATGGCCAAATTTTTAAAGGAAAATTTCGACAAAAAAGAAAACTTTGATTTTGGAAAGTGGAAGTACTAGCATTTGCGAAACAGCGAAAACCTTTTCTGGCTTTTCAAGTCTGTTTTTTTATCGGGCAGTATAAGAAGGTAACTTTTTGTTGTTTTTAATCTTATTTAACTGACATGCTAACTTGTTTATGTGTTAGTTTTAAAAATGCAACGTTTTTTATGTTTATAACTATTAGCAGCTTACTGAAACACTATCTGAATTTATATACAAAACGAATATTTTTCTTTCTTTTTCCTACTAATAATTGCCGCTTAGCGCTGTTAATTGTTAACATAGCTTGATAATGCGAATCTTGTGACATTTGCACTAATAACAGTATGTGCCACATTAATATTTTGTCAAAACTTGATTTTTCTTGACGGTCAGCACTTCAGTTTAGCTTAAAAAAAAACACGTTAAAAATACCGGAATACCGGTATTTACCGGTATTCTGATGGCGGTATATCGGTATTCGGTATTTGCGATATCGATCCAGCCTATATTGTAGAGGAGGGTCCAAAATAGAGAGGGTTATTCATTTATTGCTGAGAGGCAGTGGCATAGCCTGCCCGACAATTTGGTCATGCTATGCAAATTTCAAATCATTATCATCATTCATTTCTTTAGAAATTGATTGTTTTCACGGTTTATAAACATGGAAATATTTGCATAGTGTGACCAAATTGTCGGGTTGGCTACGCCACTGCTGAGAGGCAAAGTGAAAAATCAATAAATGAACCATTAAAACATATAATCAAATAGTTGTCTGATACAAATGTTGCTAATTGTGAGGGGAGGTTGAGGTGTGCATATCAGACTGGGGGAGGGCTTATGAGTGGGGGGGGAGGGGGTAAATGGAGGATTTACAGCATGAAATTTGTGTATTTAATCACTTACTGGTAATGTTGTTAATATGTTACATGATAAATCAAGAGAGGTAGCTTTTGGTAGTGAAGCCTACAAATAACACAAAAATATATTAGATTGTACTGACTACAGTACATGCCTCACAATTCAGGATAGGCATACTAGACTACCTATTCCCTAATGAACAAAAAAAAAACCCAGCAAATGCGAGGCCCAAAAAAGCGGGGCCCGAACGGTTTTCTTTGTTCCCTGTTTCAGCGCCAGGTCCCAAAGGGCCCAAGGTCCCCAGAAAACATCAGGGCCCAAAATTTAAAAATTAAGACGCCAAAGAGTGGGGGGCCAAGTGGTTTATTGTTCCCTGTTTCAGTGTGGGATCTAAACAGCACGGGGCCCCAAAGAGTCCAAGGCCCCCAAAAGCGAATTAGCTCCAAAATAAAGAACTGTGAGGCCCTATTTGAAGTTTAAAAAGCTAAGCTCCAAAAGCGGGGTCACAAACAAATTTTTCTGTTCCTTCTTTGGGCAAGGGGCTCCAAAAAGCGAGGCCAAAAAAATCATAGGGGTCAGAAAATTTCAAAATTTGCAGAAAACTGTTCAATACTAAAAGATTGCTGAAGATCCCCTGTAAATAATAATGTTACAGTTAATTTCATATAACTTTTCCCTGAATGTTGCGAACTTCGTTCCGAATTTCATTGTGAAGTTCAAAAGTTCATACTGAAATTTACAAGCCGGTTTGTAAACAAAGCCTCTGATTGGTCTCTGAACAAAAATAAGCCAATCAGAAGCTTTGTTTACAAACCGGCTTGCGAATTTCAGTATGAACTTTTGAACTTCACAACGAAGTTCGGAACGAAGTTCGCAACATTCAGGGAAAAGTTATGTGAAATCTACTGTAAAGGTATAAACTGGGTTGAATTTCAGTTCGATCAAATTATTGATGTATAATTCTTTTTTTTTTGTAAATACACAGGAAACTTTTCAACGCACAAAATACAAAAGGATATTTTTTTAATCTTGCTGAATTCAGTGTCTAAAAATATGTCATGGGGTAAAGGAGCCCCGCGCTCATAATATGCCACAGGCCCTGCGAAACGTTAATCCGGCCTTGACTTGAGTAGGCATGTGATGCAAATTTAGAGCAGAAGAAAAAAGCAAATGAAGTGTCCTAATCTTTCCTCTCCACTCTAATGAAAAGTATATGATAAACTTATCTAGAGTTACTTCACAATTTTTAGCTAATATTCAATTAGGCCTGATCAGTATGTGTGTTGGTATCATTACATATGTATACTACTGTATGTCAATTGCAACTACTGTATTTAACCCATTGAGCGCCAGTGTCGACAATCAAAATCATTTGGCATTAGACAGCCATGGAGGGGAGTAAAGTCATAAAATATGAACTACATGTATTTAAAATGGTAGGTCAGTGATTCTTATCAGCTTCTTCATTGGCCCACAACATGAATTTGTAACTCATTCCAGTGGCCAAAAATATGTGGCAGATGAATAGCACTGATCCCATCTCTAGTACTGAGTTTAATCCCAGCCGGATTGCATTCGGATGCTATCCAGCAGGAGAAATGTGCTCAGAAATGCCTTTGGAAAAACATGGGATTTTTAGCAGATATTTTCAAGTCAAAACATGGATTCCTCACTTTGATGGTCATACATGTTTTTGTATCTACTGTATCTATCTTTTTTTGGTGTGTGCGGCATTTTTTACAGCAAGTCGACAAATAATTTGCACAGTTGCTGCCAAGACCATCATTTCTGCAATCGCTCATCGATCATAGAACATGCAGCATCATGAACAGCCAGGATTTTAGGCCACATAAAAAAAAATAGTTGGTTAGCGTCGCCGCCCGCCCACAAAAAAGGCCCCGCTCAGGATTTTTTTTTATTTAAAAAAACCCCGACTTTTATTGATCAACGGGCTCTAATGTATGTAGTATTTCTGTTGACTGTAGTCAATTGTGTTAATAATTTGCGAAATTGCGTGCGAAAGTGACGGTATGAATTATATTTTGAAATATATAAAAAAATATCTGTACTAGCGCAAGAAAATCCAGTTTCGGACCTAACAGTGAGTAAAACCAAGGCGTTAAAAATTAGTAACAATTTAAAAAAAAGCGGCCGCCCGCCCACTTTTTGACAAAAGCTAAGGACGCTAACCAACTATTTTTTTTTATATGGCCTTATATCATTTTTATATACCACCATTTTGAAAACTGAAAGTAAGTCATTGTACTATTTCTCTGATTAATTTATTACTGTAATATTGCTTTTAAATTATCAGGCAGGTGAACTAAAATTATCAACTTTGATTCTTTGAGAAATTAAACGGGTTTTCTTCAAAAAGTGGCGTACTTTTCTGTTCATTCAAATTGTTGGTGGAAATATCTGCAGTGTCTGGTTTCAACCTAGCTGCCAGATGACCAGCAAGGCATGTTATAAAGTCCTTGTTAAACTTAAAACACAAACTTAACCACTTACTATTTCTCGGACTGGTACTTTGGAAAGATTACATAAACTTAAATCAAGTTCACTTCCATCTAATTTATCTTTGAGCTCTTCTTTAGTAAATTTTGCTTTGCTCATTTTGAATAATATTTATTTTTTCATTCCTTTATACACGTAATCGTTGCAACTGTGGCCCGCGATGTTTCAGTACCAGTATAGTTTTCTTTCATGAAGTAACGTTGAAGAAGGAAATCTCACGAAATATTTCGTAAGACAAATTCATGATGTTGTACTGATAAAACGTGTTATGGTAAGAAAATTTGATATTTTCACGTATTTCCTTTGCTCTATTTAATATTTATATCTCGTTTAGGCGAGGTTTATAGCACAGATAATTGTCCTTGGTGGGCAGGTTGTTGCAAGGGCTTTCACCCAAGCATTGAGACAGGAATTTCAAAGTGAGTATAGTATAAGTATAAATTTTATAAAGAATGTTTCATAAAGTTCTAGAAAGGATCAGGTGATGACTAAATACTGTATTTTAAACAACTGGGAATGCACAAATACATTGCACAAAGGGCAAAAGTTTTCCCAATCTTGCAGCATTGGCTCTGGGGCACAGAATAAGGCTCTGGGCCCTAAATTTAGGGGTTCTGGTTGCCTATTTCCCCAGAGACAATGCCTCCCGCGCATAGGCATTGCTCTGGGTACGAGATTGAGGTTTTCCAGCAGGAGGGGGGGGGGGGGGGGGGGGACTGAGGAGGGGGCAACGTTGTTCTAATGGGTTAATATACTGTAATTGCCAATTGCAATAATTCTGATACAATTTGCTGCTGTTTCATTGTTTAAATAAATAAAAAAGTAATTGACCGACTGATCGATTGTTCAGCAACCGGAAATTACCGATTATTTATGTCACAATATACCAGATAAAGGTGACATATCATTCATGTCAACTTTTTAACGATAATTTCCAATGTAACATGTTACTTCATGCAACCAAAGATTGTTAAAACTGTTAATAAATGGCATGCTTCACACATTAACATATTGCGTTAAAACGCAACATGTATCAACGTGCAATGCATATATTAATTTTTAAATTAAAGTGGGTATTTTCTCAACAATCGGTTTTAGACAATTGGAAAATAAAAATAATTGTTTAATTCTACTGATTCATATCGTCTACCGATATGACAAAAATCAGCTTGATGCCGATACCGATTACCAGCCAATCACTAAAATATGCCTCAGTTGTGTTTTTGTGGCTTTGATTGATGTAAACACAAATTTCAGCTTGATAATTCTACTCATATCAAGCTCAACCTTGTTCAATAATTGTTAAATACTGAATCACATGCAAATACTGTAGTGCATGATTTGTTTCTTGATTGTTCATCAGGGGGACAGGCTGCTCAAAGTGCGGCCAAAACAGCAAAAGAAGGAGTAAAACGAGCCACAACCAACAGCATGATGGGAATATCATTAGAAGAAGCAAAGCAGATTTTAAATATTGAAAGAATTGACAAAGAAGCAATCACTAAGGTCAGTATACCTGGGAATTTATTTTATTTGTTATATACAGTGTAGAATAACTTTGAGTGCATGTGACAAAGGATATTGTTGCGTTCTTTCTCACCTATACTCAGTCTGGTATATACATGTACAGTGAAAATAAATAAAATGTGCAGTCTGAAAATGTTGTAAATAAATATAATGTCAAAATAATGGTAACAAAGTTAAACTTCTCCTTCACCTCTATTTAACACACTCTACTGTACTTTGTTATTTTACTCTGTCTAATGTCAGAGAATTTCACTTCACTTGTTAAGGGGAAAGTGGCACCACTCAATGGGTTAATATGCATAGTGTACAGTAGATATACACAGGGCTAAAAATAACGGCCTGTAGATCACTGGACAAAACAACTGAGTGATCATCTTGATTTTAGCTTGGTCAAACTCTAACTGGTCATTTTTAAAATAATAAAATACAGCTAATAATGAGAAAGATCATGATCAATGTGCGAGATATGATTTCATACACTTACAGTCAAATAAATATTTGTTTTTGGACATTGTTTTTCATGTTTTAAATACTCAAGACATTAGTAAGTTAGTAAAACATTGTAGGAAAACAGTCAATGTTAATAACTAACATTACTACAGTGCTTTTGGAGAAATCTTCATTACACGGAACAGGCAAGGATGGCATGTACCACTGCAAATAGGAAATAAATTGTATCGGAAGCATGTGTTTTTGTATTTTGGAATTGTATTTTTTCAAATTGTATCGGAAGCATACAAATGTGACTGGTCAAAATGAAGTTGAAGCAAAAAATGTTATTGGTCAAGAGGCATTTTAGCCAGTCATTGTCTGCCGTTATTTTTATCCCAGATACATAATCAAAGATATTGTCATGGTAACATTTTTTACCCACCTGTTTGGTTCTACCATAGATATCTCAAATTCAGGGTCCAGTGCAGGTTCAGATTCGACTACCACTATCTCTTACTGACTTAGAAATTGGATAGATGGTATTCTCGGTCCGTTGCTGTTCAGTATTTATGTCAATGATCTACTAGTGTCTGCCACTAAAACGTGTTCCTCCAAATCGTATGTTGACGGTACTAAACTCTTTCTGTCCTTCCATATCAATAACTCTAATGCTGCTCTGGTTGATCTGAATGAAGACGTAATTAGAATTTGAAATTGGTGTTTCGACAACCTGCTCTTGCTCAACCCCGGCAAGACCAAATTGATGGTCTACGGAAGTCGTTAAATGCTCACAAGGCTACCTGAATTTAGACCCTCACTACTTGGTAAAGGACTAACACCTGCCGCAACAGTCAAAGATCTGGGAGTTACGTTTGACCCTCTCCTTCGACAATCATATCCTTTCTACCGTCTCGTCCTGCAAGTCAAGTCTCTGTCAGATACATCGAGCTAAACACGCCTTCATAAAGCTCTGTTAGTAGCTGTGATCAATGCTTTGGTCTTCAGCAAGCTCTACTATTGTTCTTCACTTTGGTCAAACACTTCCTGCAGTAACCTATTCCATCTTCAAGGAGTCCAGAGTTTCGCAGCACGAGTAGTGAGGAATACAAGAAAGTTTGACCACATCACCCCGATTCCAAAGGAAATACAGTGGCTTCCCGTGAAATTGCATCTCTACTATCGTATTGCTCTACTGGCCTTCAAATTCATGAACATTTGTGCCTCCATTTACTTGTCGTCCCAGTTCATAACCAGAGGTGAGAAGTGAGCTCTCGTGAGACACGAAATGTAAGAAATCTGGATGTTCTATTGTACAAAACAGCTACCGTACTTCTTTGGAACAACATTAGCCCTGACTTAAGTCGGTGCAATTCTACTGTATTTCAAACTTTAAGTTAAAACTAAGACAGTAGCGATTGATACACCGGGTGGAAATTTGCGAAAGCCTTTTCATTCGCGAAAGCCTTTTCATATCCAAGCTTAATCCTACTTTAAATGCTAACATTAGGTCAACTCCTCTTGACCTTTTCTAATGCTTTGCTAGGTCTCTAATTACTAACCATTATTTCTTTAATTTACTAATACTTTTTATGACAGGTTGTTTTTCATCCTTCCTCTTATTCGCTTATTTGAATACTGTAACCGTTTGAAACTATTGGTATATATATAATACACGCTTGTAAATAAGTTTAATTGCTCTGAAGATGTTGTGAACAATACAACGAAACGTTAGCCAATAAATTTTATATTTTGTTATGTCTTGTCTGAAAGTCATTTGCTGGGCTTTAATTTTCATTTTTAAATTAAAACTAAGATATAAACTTTTCCAGTTATGAAGTACTTGTTTTTCAGTTAATCAATAAGCGTTGTCAATGTCACTGTTGTTGTGTTATCGTCGTCGTCGTCGTCGTCGTCGTTGTTGTTGTTGTTGTTGTTGTTGTTGTTGTTGTTGTTGTTGTTGTTGTTGTTGTTGTTGTTGTTGTTGTTGTTGTCCCTTTGTCCCTGTTGCAGTTTTTGTGAAATTGTCCTTGTTTGCTAGTAATGTGTTTCAATAAAATTAATTATGGCTAAATGTAGTAAATGTTTATCACTGAAAAGCTCCTTCAGGGGAGTGTCAATAATCAAAAACACATCTTAGAATAATATGAAACTGGTTTTTCGTATCTCTGAGGATGGTTTCAAAAACACATCTGATTGGTTAAGAATCCATTATTGATAGTGATAGTGGTGAAACACAATTAATTATTTTTTTTTGTTTGTTTTATTGTTCTTCTAGATTATTACAAAATGAAATAAGTTTTGTCTGACGTTTCGGTTTCCTATACGAAAACCATTTTCGAAGTCTTCGAAAATGGTTTTCGTATAGGAAACCGAAACGTCAGACAAAACTTATTTCATTTTGTAATAATCTAGAAGAACAATAAAACAAACAAAAAATGAATGAACCTGTATTCAAACCTTTTAACAATTAATTATGTTACGTCATCAAGAAAGTTTTGTGTGGGTGCTGCAAACGCTGAAGGCGTGAGGCCTAGGTGCCCCTCTGGTAGTGGTATTGGTAGTCAAATCTGAACCTCTTATGTTACGTCGTTCGTGTCTGAACCACCTGAAAAATATTGAAAAAGCCCCAAGAGCAAAACAAGGCAGAATAACAAATGAAATAACGATGTGAGAATATGGTACGAACACTTTTCTGTTCATTCTGCAACCAGGTTATGATATCGTTTTCCCATCTATAACTGAGTGAACTTATTTATTAATACTACTAAATTTAATATATACATACTTAAATTTAAACTCGTTGCATGTGGGTATATTGTACAGGGGTGGATTTATAGGGGGGTGCACAGGGGTGCGCACCCCTGTTGGCCTTGGACAACAGGGGTGCAAGAGGGTGCAAAAAATCAAATTCAGAAATATGGCACAATTTCCAAGGTTTTTCCTTTTTTGAAGTCAAACTGAAGCTCATAATGGACTTTTCCCCTTATAACTAAAATTTCGATCTAGACAAAAATTTCATCACAGCTTGAAAGAGCATCACAAAATTAGTAATATTCCAAAGTTTTGTTACAAAATCTTGTATTAAATGCGGATAATATAGCCTTGCGAAGTTTGCCGTTTTTCAGTAATTTTGTATTACAAACGGGAAATTGACATCCGATTCGGGTGTTGGGGCTGCAATTTCCCGTTTGTAATCTAAAATGACTGAAAATTGCAAACTTCGCAAGGCTCTTTTTTCCTCATTTTACAACATTTCGCAACGAAACTTTGGAATATTACTAATTTTGTGATGCTCTTTCAAGCTGTGATGAAATATTTGTCTAGACTTGCCTAGATCAAAATTTTGGTTATAAGGGGAAAGGTCTATTCAATGCCCATATCGTAGGAAATGGCATTTCTAGGGTTCTAATTTTCAAACTTTTCCCTGGACCCCCTAGGAAGCTTGTACCTTTGGTGCTTGAGTTGTTCGGAAGCCAATTCATTTGAATGCTCTCCCACCACCCCCTAAAGAATTATAAAAAAACACTCAGCTGCTCAACCAGCACCCCCTAGAAAAACCTTGCTGGATCCACCCCTGATATTGTACATTGTGAGCTGTCTGATATGTGCGACAAGAAGAGCCTGCAAAGGGGGCAGCATAGTGAGCATCGCTATAAGAAAATTATTTTTTTCTTTAGAATTATGATCATTTGTTTAAAGTAAATGAAAAAGCAGGGGGAGGATCGTTTTATCTACAATCAAAGGTATATTGTGTATGATACTGTTTGGGAGTCATGCATGATGTCTAATACAATCTTTCTTAGTCCGGGAGTCGCGACTAGACTAGGCCAAGGAACTATGGAAAGATATTCAGCATGACGTAATTCTCACGTGATCGTGCCTGCGTTCGCTGTTCACGGTCTTCGAAACCTGGGGCTAGTTGTACGAAGGCCGGATAGCGTTATCCACCGGATAGTGATTTTTTCAAGCTTTGTTAAATCAGTCGTTGATTGGTATAACTCGTATTAAAGTTTAGTGTTTATAAGTTAAATGTTTTTATACTTGTTGTGTCGTCTATATCCGTAGTTTCACAGTTTTTCAAGCATTTTACAAAGGTTGAAAAATCACTATCCGGTGGATAGCGCTATCCGACCTTCGTGAAGCATGATGGTGCTAGCTACAGTCAAAAATTCCGCGTTATACAGTACGCCGTTTTCCCAGTTACGTTTAGCTAACAATTTCCCACTTTAGATCTGCCAAAAACGTAACTATTATGAAAAAATAAAAAATAAAAGTTTTTTTCAACGTCAAAATTTTGCTGAAGAAGAATTGGGAGCAACGGATAAATCTTGCACGAGGATGCCATCTAGCCTAAAATATATTATTTGAGTGTCTGTTTCAGTAATGTTGATGATCAACATTAGCACTGAAACAGACAAATTAAGTTGATGATGTTTTTTAGCGCAAAAAACAAAGCCATAACCTCTAGCTGAAATTTGTAATTTGCCTGCGTACAGTATAGAATGCTAAATATCTGTAATGTTGAAGAGCTGGTGAAATGAAATTTTGATTCAGGTGGTTCGCGCTAAAGAAAGATTGGATGCCGAACTTGAAGCGACGGAGAAAGAAAAACAACAAAATACAGAAGACTCTGCTGATAAATAACACACGAAATGGTAGACACAGACTGTGTATGAATATGTAATATAGAAATATTTAGGTGGTTTGCATTGCATTTTCGGAATTTGCAATACATTTTGCCCCGATAAATAGGTCACCCCATGCGATTCAAAGAATAAAGAGATTTTACCATGTTGGATTAATTCATTATAACAATTTGCCCAATCTCGTTCCCCGAGCCTGCGATCCTTGGGAAGGAAACGAAGGCTCTGGGATAATCCATCTCAGAAATGAATATGATTGGTTGCTGGTATACAATGGAATGTTGCAATTTTGCAAAAATTAATTTTTAACCGTATATTTTTATATACAACATGGCGGCCGTTTAGGAGTGTACGAATATTGTTTTGGTTTTTCAGAGCTGTGCTATATACTAATACTACAAAGGAAATGCAAAGAAACGTATACTGAATGCGTATAATATCACAACTAAATGGAGCGTGAAAACTTTACTCATATTTTGTGTTGTACAGGTTTTCTGTAGTTTTAATCTACACATAGTATACGTACTGTCAGTACACTGTTCTATTTGACTATAATATCGAATATGTGCTATATTTTGCAAATACTATTTGTGTCAGAAATGGTTAATAACTTTATTAATTTGTCTTTGTGTTATCATTATTGCGAAGAACTAGCTAATAACTAGTTTCAATACATCCAATCTTGGGATTTACTGTTATATATTTTATTATTTAATGTATATATTGTACTGTGCAGGAGTATGTAATACTCATTTTGCAGTTCAAGTGCAGGAGTATGTAATACTCATTTTAACTTGTAGCATGTAACCCTTCCCTATATGGGTGCATATGAATCTTTTGCTGTTATAATTTATTTATTGAAGAGTTCAAAAAACCTTTATTCGCTAAATAAACCACAATTTCACAGGCAGTGATATTTTAAGTTCGTATTGTGTTAGAATTGTTAAACTGTGGAACTATGTTTGTACGTCTGCTCCTTCGTATTGTTATGTCACTGTCTCCTCTTTTAATTCATACTTGCGCAAGACTTACATCCACCTCACTAGTACTTCCTACACTCCTGACTTACCTAGTTCACACTCACTTATCACGACTCAATAAAAAATATCTAACATTTCTCTCTTTGTCTTTTCATTCTTTCTGCCTTTTCATTCTCTTAGTCTTTTCATTTAATCTTCCTTGTCTTTGTTTCTTGTCTTTGTTTCTTGTCTAGTGGTGAGCACCCTGCATGGGACATAGTCTCGTTTGTGTTTCGCCACTTTCCTCGTCTTCTTGTACAATGTAATTGTCCGTTTAAGTTATGTAAATATTCAGTTTTTTATGTGCCAAATTAAAGTTGTTAAATTAAACTGGTATTCCAGTCTGCATACACCTAATGCACCTATCAATGTTAACCCCCAGAGGGGGTCGGGTATATGTGGGGTATTTAATCATCAATTGCTCCCCACCCTGGGGATTTTGAATAGCATTTTGGCCCCGAGTTGGGGCAATTTGAACCAAATGACTTTTATTAACATACTATTTATTGCAAAATGGTGGGGCATTTGACTAATATTTATTGCCCGACAGTGGGACATTTGATTGAAAATTTGCTCTAAAAATCAAATGCCCACCTATGCCTGACCCCCCTCCTCTGGGGCTTAACATTGATAAGTGCAAAATACATATAATTAATTATTGGATTTCACTATGGCATTTTGCACGTTCTGTCATTGGTTCTGACAGGGGGTCAACCTAAAAAATGTATTGATGCTTATGTTGTACTGGAGTGAGCAAATGACATGAAATTGCATGTATTTGCAACGAAACACAAGGCCAACACATACAGTGAAAAATTAATTCCCTCTGATGACTGTGTCCCGATTTAGAGTTGACCACCCATCAAATTTATGATGTCATATGAAACACAATAATATACAGTATAATATTACTGACAGCTAATTGTAGCATAAAGTATTTAATGATTTTAATTTATTGAGTAGCACAATATGCCAAATTGGCAATCCCTTTGTTAATCTTGTCCACACAGTAATTCAAAGAAGCCCTGCCCTCTGTACGAAGTTGTATTAATTGGATTCTGTCCAAGAAAACGTCATAAACTTTTTGATCCAGATGTTACAAAGTATGAATTCCAGATTGGGAGACCATATAAATATTTTTAATAAATTCATATACTTTTTTTTAAGAAATGTTCTATTCCTTTAAATGATAGTGATCATGCAGTCACCAGAATTCATTTTCATCAGCTTCCCCCTGGTTATGACCCCCTGTAGGGAACCACCTAGGGTGCAGGTATAATTTTGTGATGAATGATAAAAAATTGCCCAATATAAATGCCGAGCCATAGAAATATTTTTATTACCATGGTCATGACAACTACCCTGTCTGTTTGATTGCAATATCAAAACTTGTTACTTTTACACTATAAAACAACACATACCTACTCTGAGAAGGGGATGGGCAACAAAAACTCATATTTCAGTTTTTTCCCTTCCTATCCAATTCAAATCATGCTGGCCACGAAAACAATTTCCTGATTGCGATACAATAAATTGCCAAATGACTGACAATTTGGGCTAGTGATGCCCCTGAATGCTACAATGATAGCTAGCAACCTCATTGCTATTATATCTCCAACCTTGAATGTCCTATTTAGTACAGTAGTTAATTAATTAATGGCAGTAATCAACATGAAGTCAAGTACATTTCTGGCCATTGATGAGAAATATTGTCCAGAAGCAGGGATGGATTTACTGGGGGGGGGGGTGCACCCCCCTAGCCCTGGCCAGAGATGTTGCAGGGGAGGTGCTATTTTTCATGATAAAGCAAAAAAGACAAAATGAGATACAGTAATTTGAGTAATAACATGATGATAAGTGAACTGTGAACAATTACAATTCAAATACAGTAGTTGATGGGCGGGCGGCACACATGACCAACACAACTTGGCACCAGAGCCCCCCCCCCCCCCCCAGATCATGCTGGATCCATCCCTGTCCAGAAGTACAGTGAAATAACAAAATAGGGTGCACTACAACAGCACTCTTCGCGGCTCCTGCCGGCTCTATACTGACCCTGTTTCACACGCAATATTTTCCTTATTCAGTCGCTAACACACCTTTTGTATCCCACTATGAAGAACATCAACATTTCCACCAAAACCCCGAAAAAATAATCATTTTATAGACGAAAGAATAAAATATTTCAAACAATTTGTTTTGCTTTTGCCAACGCATGCGCAGTTCGGTCGACATACAGTTTTCTGTATGTCTGAGATGGATTATCCTAGCCTGCGTGCAGGCCCAAGGGAACTTGATAGTGGGCCTGCAACCATATCGCCCGGTATTTTGAAATACGCCCCTTTTCATAACACGCCCCATTCGCGCGTCAATTGTCAAAAAAGAACCAATGACAGCACCCAAATATTAACAAACAAACTCGCATTAAAATGTTGCGGGGTTTTCTCTGCTTATTCAGAACGCTAATAAACAATGTGTAAATGGCTGCGTTTTAACTCCAAAAAAGCAAGCAACGCAGTCAGTAATTGCCAAATTTGCAAGTGCTCATTTTCAACTAAAATCGGAACAGGCAAATTAGGACGAATTTCAACAGAAAACCAGTCTCAAACTTCAAATCATGAGGGAAGTCGGGCGACCACATTAGGTTATGTGCTTCGCTGTCGCCATTGGCATTGTTATAAATAAATTGTCTCACTTATCAGATCGTGTGTGCAATTCTTGTTGGCGGCGGAAAGTACGAAATTTATTTCATTTGGTAAAGAACTCTACAAAAGAAGAGAGCGTTCCGAGTCCAGATCGTTTCGTTTCAAACGGCAATTTAACACCGCCTTCTGTTTCGCTCTCTCTGCGAAGCCTTGTAAATCGCAAAGTGTTTCGAATAGGCTTACAGTTCTTACATGCAACTGCATCTCAACATCAACCAAAAGATAATTTTCTTGAGGAAGTGAGAACACATAACGTATCAACTGAAGTCTGTTTGAAATTAATGAAACTCAAGTAAAGGTTACTATAGTTTACCCCAGTCGTAATGTTGCTATTCCAACACCTCACGACAAGCAATCCCCATTGGCATAACGGTAAAAAAATGTCTTCCTTCAAGTAAACAATAAACAGTCTGTTCTTGTTCCATTTGTAATCGAAAAAAGTGATCAATTTTCAAATTTTAAGCTTATCGAGAGCCTTTGTCTATGCCTTTGTGATGAATCACTGTTCCCTTGTGCCTGCACAATGGGCTAGGTTAATTAATTACCGATCGCCTCAGCCAGGGCATTTTTTAAGAATTCGTCAGTGGGGGGGCCATCTACAAAAAGGGACCATACTATACAGAGTGTGGAGCAATGATAGATGGTTTGTTGGTAACAAAACGTTTGGTGTGGTATCGCATTTAATAGTAGTGTGGGGGGAGAGCAGGGCCGTAGGAAGCTTCTTTCGTTTGGGGGCGCTGAAAGCGAGGGCCGAAGGCCCGAGGAAATTTTTAAATTTAGAGTCTCTGAAATGCCATTTCCTGGACTTTGGGGAAGATTTGACAGATTTCTGATTGTCAAAAAACAGCGTTTTTAGTATGTGGAAATTTAGAGTTCAGTAGTACTAAATGGGCGCAAGTGTATTTAATTAACGATATTTTGGATAAGTTGCAGGAAAGTATGGGTAATATCTTCATTCTTTGAAGTTTGTCATGGATTAAATGATAAAGGTCTGCATGATTTTGAAAAATGAATGATTATTAGCAAATTATTGGGGGGCTGCAGCCCCCCAGCCCTCCCCCTCCCCCCCCCCGCGGTTGCTACGGCCCTGGAGAGGTCTGGGGTTTTCTCTCCCAGAAAATGTTTGTATTTTTCTACCCCTATGACTGCAATTCCCTGCATTTTCTGAAACAGATTTTTGGATATACAGCATTACATTATGCTGTAGATATAGACTGAACCTTCAGTTAAGTACTTGCATAGTATGTTTATGTAGATACCACAACTTGGCCGTCACTTAGGGAGCAAGCTTGATAAACTTAGAGTTCCCGACTCCCACGGAAAAATTTTGAAAATTTTGCGTCTCTAAATCGTCGGAAATGGCATTTTCAAAGTCTTCTATACGTCTTTTGTTAGGCCCTTTCATTAATTCGTTCATTATGATTTGTGAGTCTATGATATCCACGAGTCAGGATGGATTATTATGAGAAATGTTATCAAAATATCGATTACAGATATTTGATTATATGTATATATGATTTCAAATACTTCTAGTTTCGAAATCAAATTGTTTTTTTTTGGTGGGGGGCCAAAATTATCCCCCCCCCCTTATAAAACACTTGGTTGAGGGCCTGTTGTCCCCTGCGGTCACTAACTTGTCCAACAACTCAAATCTATAGGGTCTGGGAAATGCAATCCACTGCCTGGGAAATGTTTAAAATCTAATAAGGTATTTATTAAACATAAAAGACAGGACATAAGATTCACAAAACAAATTTCAGTTACTAGAATATCAAACCTCCCTTCTAAATTCCATGTTTTGCTTATATTTTAGAGAAAAGGGACTTTGACTGGGGGGGCCAAAATGGTTGAGTGAGGGGGCACCATGGGGGCTGAGGGGGCTTTGGCACCCCCACTTATATAGTTAAAAAATGCCCTG